TAATATCGTAAACTAACATTTACAAGCGGATTTGTCTTTTTATAGAAGGAATTGAGAAGCTAATACTTACTTTGATGAACTTAAAGCTTAAATAGCGTTACTATCATTCATTTGAAGAACTGATTATCATATAGAGGATTTAACATCCGAATGTGGAACATTAATTCAAACGGGGAACTACAAGGCAGTGTGGAAATATGGACCCACGCGGCGGGGGTTGGAAGAAGAGAACTACAAGACAGTGTTAACACAGGGAACCATACGTACATTTTAAAACGGACTGTGTTTAAACGAGCAGATACAAAGCAGTGTTTTAAAGGGGAACTACGAAGCAGTGTTTAAACAGGGCACCTCAAACAGTGTTTAAACAGGGCACCTCAAACAGTGTTTAAACAGGGCACCTCAAACAGTGTTTAAACAGGGCACCTCAAACAGTGTTTAAACAGGGCACCTCAAACAGTGTTTAAACAGGGCACCTCAAACAGTGTTTAAAAGGAGAATTAAATGGTCGTATTAAAACAGGGAGCTTGAATACAGTTTTCAAACAGGGAACTACAAGGCAGTGTTAAAATGATGAACTAGAAGGCAGTGTTATAACGGGGAACCAGACGGGAGTGTTAAAATGGGGAACTAGAATGGGATATTGAAACTGGGAACTACATGGTAGTTTTTAAATGGGGAACTACTGATACATGGCAGAATTTAAAGTCAGGGTTGAAATGAGGAACTACAAGCGAGTTTAACCAGGGAACTGTAAGACAGTATACTGTAACATGCTGTAACACTGCAACATGCTAGGCTGCGTAAATTGATGAAACGGGTTAGGGGCAGGAAGTACAGCACCTGCAGTTAGTGCTCAAAGATCTGCACCCCCCAGACAGCAGACTATAACATGTCGAAGATATTGATTCCGGCTGCCTCTAGAGCTCTGACCTCCTCTCTCTTCTTAGACAGCGGCGTCTCCTTCAGCCAGGTGACCAGGGCGTCAAGCTCCTCCACGTAGATGGGCGTTGACTCCGAGAGCACGTCTCCGAACTCAATCGTGTGCAGGGGCTTGATGTTCTGTCGCTTCAGTCGTTTGGCCGTCAATACCTGCCTGGCCGTGTTGAAAATGTCGTTGGCGGTGAAATTGCTGGAAATCTGGACAAATCGATTTACATCAGACGATAACTTTTGACGAAGCGGTTGTGTGATTTGTGCACTTACTGATTAATTAAATCAATGATGTAGGTTACATTCCAGAAACTTATAAACTGTATTTTCGTTCGCACAGCGAACTGGAGAAAACCGCAGTGGCGCAGTGGCTTGCATGATTATTTGCTCGCCTATTGGAAGTGTCTGTTCAAATCCCGGTTCAGCCCAAGATTTTGGACGGGAACTGGACCTCCGGGTCGTTTTAACCTTTAACATGCTTTTGATGCTTTTACTTCTTCTTAATTTTTCCTGGCGGTAAACTGATGTGGAAAGTTCTGGATGTTCGTCCACTTCTGTACTTTAGTCCTGTCCAAATTGTGGGTTTAGCGTGCTTATTTGTTTCATAGAGCAGGTTTATTTGTATGCAGACTTAATTTCTTGCGAATCAGGCAGATGTATTCCAACTTTGAAAGAAACATCCACAATCAGTCAACATTAACGACATTTTTTAGGGGTGCAGAGACCTACTATCTTTTGTTTTCCAAAACGGGACCCCGGCACTACACGGGGACAACCTTAAACAGGTACAAGGCAATATTAGGGGTGTTGAGACACCCATGGAGCACTGACCCCATCATCCCCAACTGTGTCCATACAGATGCGGAACTGGTACCATATACTCAGTCGTCCTCGGACCTCTGACTCCTCACGATCCCCATTTTTCAAAAAGTTGACCTGAATATATTGAGTTGAATTAACCTGCACTGTTGACCCCTGAGTAAAATAAGTTGAATTAACCTGCACTGTTGACCCCTGAGTAAAATAAGTTGAATCAACCTGCACTAGACTATACACTTTAGCTTGATCTCCTCTGTAGAATAGTTGCCTGGCATGGACGTCACATTAAGTATGAACTTCCTAGCTTTATTTTCAGTGTCTGGGACAGAACTTTGGTCAAAGACAGAACCCACATTTTGTGTCTTTAGTCAAATTCAGAACACAAATATTGTGTCTTTAGTCAAAGTCATAACACACATTTTATGTCTGGTCAAAGTCAGAACACACATTTTGTGTCTTTAGTCAAAGTCAGAAAGAGCGGCTGGCCGAACGGTTAGAACGTTAGGCTCTCGCGCTGGAGACCCGGGTTTGAATCCTTGGTAAGGCTGGGAATTTCTTTTGTCAGGGGTAAAATAAAATTCTCACCCGCACAGTCTTGGCGACAGCACTAGACATGCTGCCGTAAATTCCCAGGCTCAAAGACCCCCTGCCGATACTGCATAAGTGGTAGAACAAAGGCAGTAATTGGTAGTGTCTGGGCAGTCAAAGTCAGAACACACATTTTGTTTCTGATGACGAAGATTGTGTTGGTGGTGATGACGATGATTGTGTTGATGGTGATGATGATGATTGTGTTGGTGGTGATGATGATGACGATGACAGAGTTACTCTTCATGTGGTGGTCAAGATGCTGATGACTGCGAGAACGATAAAAACGATGATGATGATGACAACAACGATGAAACAAGGACACTCCACACCACCTGAGCTAAGGTACTTAGCATCAACGACCGTGTGACCACGCCCTCGTACAGTCGGATGGCCGAGCGCCAAAGTGTGTAGCGGCTGGCGTAGGCGGGCGGGTAGATGAAGACAACCCTCTCGTACATCTTCAGAAGCGGGCCTTTAGCGGCGAGGTAGGGTCTGCTGGTGGTGCCTAGAGATGAGACGGATGAGCCTCATGTAGGGTCTGCTAGTGGTGCCTAGAGATGAGACGGATGAGCCTAATGTAGGGTCTGCTAGTGGTGCCTAGAGATGAGACGGATGAGCCTAATGTAAGGTCTGCTGGTGGTGCTTAGAGATGAGACAGATGAGCCTAATGTAGGGTCTGCTGGTGGTGACTAGAGATGAGACGGATGAGCCTAATGTAGGGTCTGCTGGTGGTGCTTAGAGATGAGACAGATGAGCCTAATGTAGGGTCTGCTGGTGGTGACTAGAGATGAGACGGATGAGCCTAATGTAGGGTCTGCTGGTGGTGCTTAGAGATGGGACGGATGAGCCTAATGTAGGGTCTGCTGGTGGTGCCTAGAGATGGGACGGATGAGCCTAGCGGTAATGTAGGGTCTGCTGGTGGTGCCTAGAGAGGGGACGGATGAGCCTAGCGGTAATGTAGGGTCTGCTGGTGGTGACTAGAGATGGGACGGATGAGCCTAGCGGTAATGTAGGGTCTGCTAGTGGTGCCTAGAGATGAGACGGATGAGCCTAATGTAGGCTCTGCTGGTGGTGCCTAGAGATGAGACGGATGAGCCTAATGTAGGGTCTGCTGGTGGTGCCTAGAGTTGGGACGGATGAGCCTAATGTAGGGTCTGCTGGTGGTCTGCTTCTTCTTAGCTTTCACTGTCTGTACATTCTGCGGAAGGTTCTGGATTGTCCGTCCAATCCTGAACTTTGGTGTTGGCCTATAGCTCGGGTATTGCGTACGAATCCGTTTACCATTTGCTTTATTTGTGCGCAGACTGTTGGTGCCTTGCCTATTAGGCACATGCAGTCCGACTTCAAAGGAAACACCTCTAATTAGAAGACTCCTACGACATGCTTGTTATGGGCTGTGGGTCTATTCTTGGTTTTCTACCATGAAGTCCGAGAAGCCAAACAGGGACAATAAATAAATAACGCACCTTTGAAGACCTGGCATAAACACGAAACGACCGTACTTACAGCGAATGTTCCGGAGAGAAGTCGTAGTAACAAAAATAGGAAGAAGCAACAGCAGAAGAAGAGGAAAAAAATAGGAGTGGAAGAGAAGAAGGAAGAGAACGATACCGCAGGCGTGTTGTCAGTTTACCAATCAGCATGATGCGATCGTCCAGCCCCACGGTCTTCATGGCTTTGACCAGGCTGCTCTTGATTCTGGCTGGGCTACTCTTGACTTCTGGCGGCAGTTTTTTGGTGAACATCAATTCGCAGTCGTCGATGAAGATAACTGAAGGTTCCAGTGCCTTTCCAACCTGGGAAAGTTGATACTATATTAGTGGAATGTCTGGCCTGTATATAGATTCATGAGAAGTCATTATTACCCTTTTAAGCCCAGGTTTGGAGATAAGTTGTATTTTGTCTCTCTGTCCTGTTTTTAATCTCACACTCACATAGACAGATACTAACCGCGCTTGATCTGAAGTTCTTACTGTAGATGTACATTATATGTTTGTAATGTCTGCCTTGTATCCAACATCACGTTACAGAGTTGCAAAGTATGTTTTTTTTTTTTCTTTTTTACCTATTTCTCTGATTTATATCAACTTTAACGTTTTGTCAAGTCTTTCATGTAACCAACCATGAGCCATGCAGAAGATTATGTAACCAACAGTGTTATGACTATCAAACACTCAGCAGAGATGTATCAAACATATCAGGTTTTTAGTCACGATATGTCATTGTGTATGCTTACTAATGTTCGCAGACATTTGCTTGCATACTCAACTTCCCGCAGACAGCTTCACACGAACCAGCTGGCGGTCATAACCCGGACATCCCTCTTGGCAAACAGATTAGCCAGATATTCACAGCCTCTGTAGACAGGTTTTGGTAGATTCTGGAGTTTTCTGCTTCATTCACATTCACTCTTCCATGTCCCTCGTCCCAGCGACAAACACAGACTATGTTCAGTTCTTTCACCCGTTTAATCGTACGTTCAGTTCGCACGCATCTCTAACATAGCTCAGTTCTGCTCCTTTTTCATAACATGCTAATCTCGTGTCTTTTTAGGCTTATGCCTATGTAACGCCTTTTGTGTTAAGTAGCTGTTGATCTTCATACAGTAAAAGTTCTATCTTTAGGCTAAAACTTGTGTTATTACACCAATCAACAAT